TGACATCTAGTAATTAGCAAAAAAGCATTAATCTTTATTATATTGATATTAATCAATATTGTTATTTGCACTAGTTACATTAAAATAGATTAATTTATTACGCATTTTATGTATTAAAAATGTAATTGCACAGGTCTGGACACTACAGCTGCATCTGAATTCATTTTTACCAGGCCAAGACTATGTCCTCAAAGTCATGTGATCTATATATTCCTATTGAGATACAACAAAAAAGATTACACCTTATGCACCTATAATCTATATGCCAATTTGTTCTATAGGAAAAAATTTCAATATTATCTTGATTTGATTTGTCTTAATTCATATTGTTTAACATTATCATAATAGCTCTATAAACTGGTCAACTAGATATTTCATGACACTATCCAGATTTTAGCTGTATAGTTATATTTAAAGTAGTGTTCTGCAAAAGGTCCAGTCCGGTTCATTGACAGATCGAGTTCGGACTCTTGATTTATCTGAATCGATACGGGTTTGAACCCACACAAAAATCTGCTTGAGTAATACCTAGTCTGGTCCTATTAGAATAATACTGATTTCTGATTGGCCAATTTTAGAATTTTTTTTTTTTTTTTTACAGCTGTGAAAATGACCCTCCATAGCTTGTGAATAAAAATTTATTTTATGAAGCTAAATGAGCTCTACAAAATAAAAAAAGATTATTCAAATTGGATGACTAAATGGCATATTTAATTTTTATTCACAAAATCAATATTACCTCAGAGAGTCATTTTCCTAGCAAAGATCCCATATTTACTAATTTAATTCGTAAATATATAATTTATTTATTTATTAGTTTAAATATATTTAAATATATTTTTTACAGTATTAATTTATTTATAAAAATTTTAAAATTTTTACAACCTTCTTGTGGTTTTGCCACTGGTTAACAAAAAATCATTTGGCTAATTGTTATCAAGCATTCCAAAATTTATAAAAACAGCTGTAATCGTTTTTTTTTTTTTTTTTTTAGTGAGGATATTAGAGCTTCGTCAACTATAGCATCTATAAATTTTAAAATTTTACAAATCCAGACCAGACCTGGATCTAAGTAATACGAGTTCGGACCCTAACTATAGATCCAAATCGATATTTGAACCAGGTACAGATCTTTAAAAATACCCTCTGGTCTGAATCATGCAAAACACTAAAATAATCTACTGCATTAAAAATATAGCATAGTTTAATAGAGTCAAATTATGTATAAATAGAATAAATAAAATGTAGAGATAGTTGTAGCCTGAAATGTTCGTAATATTCGCATATACCAATACTGAAAAAAAAGCAAAAAAATGAAACGTTTTTTTATAAAAAGCTCTGATTTTTATTAACATATAGCAATTCATCCAAAGCTCATAAAAAAAATCGCAAGAAAGGCTTAAGTTATATAAGAAAAAAGCCACACCCAAAAATACCCAAAAAAGTACTACCGTATAGTGTTGGCAGGTAAAACTGCGAAACTCTGGCAAAACCTCTGGTAAATTGAAACCCCTAGAAAAGTCAAAATTCGGCTCTCTAAGACTTTAGAAAAGGCTAAGCCATGTTATAAATCAAATATTTTGCATAAGGCTATTAAGCACAGCATGCGGCTTATTTAAAAATATATAAAAGCAATAAACAAAGTGATAACATTTTGTTTGTATTTTTCATATGTCATAATGGAATTATAGTAGATTTAGAATCAATCTAGTTTAATTTTGAATAAACATAGATCGTAATAGAATTCTAAAATGTGCACAAGTTATTAAAGAATTTGAATTTAACTTAAAACGAAATAAAGTAAATTCTGAATTAAATTATTAATAAGTTATTTTAGAATTTAAGTAGCTTCGCGATAATGCTTTATTTATATTATATTCAAAGTATTGCTTTAAAATATTACGCGTGGTTTTTACATTTATAGTTACTAGGTTGACAACTACTACCACAAGGCAAATTCATTTTTTTGCATTTACAGTGATTTTATTCACAAGTATTTTTGTAGTTGCATTTTACGTTGCCTACTTGTGATGATGATTGCATGATAGATGCTTCCCGAACACCAATAAAAGTTGAAGGAATATTATCCAATTCCGGAAAATTATCTGGACCTAATGGAAGTAATTCATTTGCACTATATGTAACTTTGATAATGCCTGACTTACATCCAATTCTATACATATCATCCTCTAAAACTTCAAGAATCTTGCAAGGGAGTGTTTTCTGGTCACTATGAGTTCTATAAATTTCAGGAATTTTGAGGTGCACCAAATTTCCAACGTCATACTTATTAAATAATTCTTTATTACATTTATTAAGCTGCAATTTTATATTATCACGATATCGTTCAAATGACTTTGTAGCTATATTTCAATAAAGTTGATGTGTTGATGTTTGTTGAACATTGGTCTTGTCTCGAAGAGTGGATTCTGGGTGTTTATCTAAAAAAGACTAAAGACAGAATAAATATAATAAATGTTAATTAATTCTTAAAATTTCAATTCACTAAAATGATGCTTAATTGCTTAATTACCTGAATATCAGTAGTGGACAATTTTAGCCTTTTAGTTGGTTGAATTTTGTGATTATTATTTTTCTTAGGTAATTCTATCTATTTTATAAAATTTTATTATTATTATTTTGTTTTTTTTATGATAATATAATACTAATACATACCCTCATTGCTTTTTTTGTTCTTTATTCACTCTTTTGTGCACTATTTTGTCATCATTTTTACCTGTGTCTATCCTTTTATCATTTATACCTTTATTATCTACCTTTTTACCATTTATCTTCTTATTGTTATTATTATCCACTCTTTTGTTTTCTACGTTTTTGCTGTTTGCCTTTTTATTGTTAACCCCTTTATCATTCACTCTTTCATTATACACACTTCTATAATTTACTCTTTCAATATCCATACGTTAATCATCATCTACTCTTTCATTGTCAACTCTTTCATTATTCACACTTTTATCATTATGTACCCTTTCATCATTGCTCACCCTTTCATCATCATCCACCATTTCATTTTCATCTACTCTTTCATCATTATTCACTATTTCATCGTAATCCACTCTTTCATCATTATTCACCATTTCATCGTCATTTACTCTTCATTGTTATTCACCATTTTATCATAATTCACTCTTTCATTGTTATCATCTCTTTCGTTATCTACTTGCTCATTCTCCAATTCTTCATTAACGAGTTCCAGTAATTGTTGTTCCTTAAATTATTCAGTTTAGATAAAAAAATAATAATAAAAAATAATAATAAAAAATAAATAAATTAATAAATTAAATAAATAAAAAAATAAAATATATAAATAAATAAATAAATAAAATATATTATTGTATAAAAAATTATTATCTCCATATTTAAAACTGCAGCTCCTAAAAGTAACTCTACGATTTCTTGTTGATCAAAATCATCTTGGGGTTCAGAGGATTCAAATCAATTTTTAGGTAAATCATCCTCAGAATTAATATGTCGTTCTTTAATTTCTTTTAACAACATAAAATAATGTAAAGGATTTTGTTCAAACACTAATGCGTAAAGACTATTCTTAGTTGGTTGTGATGTTTGTATATTTATAGCGTCTAATAAAAAAATATAATATGTATTACTTTAATTAAAAAAATTAATCATAATTAAAAGGTGAAATTACAAATAAGGGCCCAAATTTGAAAATAATTACAAATAAGGGCCCAAAATAAAAATAATTACAGATAAAGGCCTGATATTTAAAAATTATTACAAATAAGGGCCCAAAGTTGAAAAGGCTGATTTATATAATCTCGTGATTAAATAGATGTTTGAGTAATCGTTATATCATTTTTTTGAAAATAAATAATTAATTAATTAAAATAATTACATGTTTCGGTAACAATTATTTGACGATCAGTTGGGTATATCACCTGTAGTCTTGGTACTATCATCTTGAATGAGAGCTTTGGGCGAAGTCAAAAGCCAAGGAACCGGAATAATTGAAACCCATTTGGCAAGTTCCGAGCAAGAAGGTAGTGAAGATCTTTGACGATACTGCAGAAACCGGAATCCCAGAAACCAGAGACTGAAGAACTGGACGTAATAACCCTGGGGCAAGAGGGGTTCACCAACCTGGCTGCCGGAGTCGCACCAGAAGAAAAGGTCCTATGTTATGGAATTAGAAACCAAAGGAAGCGAACTATAAAGCACCTAAACCTAGGTATACAAACCTATCTGGGCTAACTGGATT